TCCCCAAAAGAGATAATGTAAACAAAATAGACCAAACCCGGATATAAGAGAAACACGGATTAAAATATTTTCTCTGTTCCCAAATTAGAGCCTGTGTTAATGTAAACAAAATAGACCAAACCCGGATATAAGAGAAACACGGATATAAAAAGATATTTTCTCTGTTCCCAAATTAGAGCCTGTGTTAATGTAAACAAAATAGACCAAACCCGGATATAAACGGATATAAAAATATTTTCTCCAAACTGGATAAAAAGAGAAACCCGGATATAAAAGATATTTTCTCTGTTCCCAAATTAGAGCCTGTGTTAATGTAAACAAAATAGACCAAACCCGGATATAAGAGAAACCCGGATATAAAAAAGATATTTTCTGTTCCCAAATTAGAGCCTGTGTTAATGTAAACAAAAAAGACCCGGATATATAAAAGATATTTTCTCTGTTCCCAAATTGGAGCCTGTGATAAACAAAATAGACCAAACCCGGAAACCCGGATATAAAGATATTTTCTCTGTTCCCAAATTAGAGCCTGTGTTAATGTAAACAAAATAGACCAAACCCGGATATAAGAGAAACCCGGATATAAAAGATATTTTCTCTGTTCAAATTAAATAGACCAAACCGGATATAAGAAGAAACCCGGATATAAAAGAGCCTGTGTTAATGTAAACAAAATAGACCAAACCCGGATATAAGAGAAACCGGATATAAAAACAAATTAGAGCCTGTGTTAATGTAAACAAAATAGACCAAACCCGGATATAAGAGAAACACGGATATAAAAGATATTTTTTCTGTTCCCAAATTAGAGCCTGTGTTAATGTAAATAAAATAGACCAAACCCGGATATAAGAGAAACACGGATATAAAAAGATATTTTCTCTGTTCCCAAATTAGAGCCTGTGTTAATGTAAACAAAATAGACCAAACCCGGATATAAGAGAAACACGGATATAAAAGATATTTTCTCTGTTCCCAAATTAGAGCCTGTGTGTAAACGGATATAAAAATAAGCCTGTTAATATAAACAAAAAACGGATATAAGAGAAAAAATAAAGACCAAACCCGGATACCAAAGAGAAACCCGGATATAAAAGATATTTTCTCTGTTCCCAAATTAGAGCCTGTGTTAATGTAAACAAAATAGACCAAACCCGGATATAAAGAAACCCGGATATAAAAGATATTTTCTCTGTTCCCAAATTAGAGCCTGTGTTAATGTAAACAAAATAGACCAAACCCGGATATAAGAGAAACACGGATATAAAAGATATTTTCTCTGTTCCCAAATTAGAGCCTGTGTTAATGTAAACAAAATAGACCAAACCCGGATATAAGAGAAACACGGATATAAAAGATATTTTCTCTTTCTCTGTGTTCCCAAATATAAAGATATTTTCTCTGTTCCCAAATTAGAGCCTGTGTTAATGTAAACAAAATAGACCAAACCCGGATATAAGAGAAACACGGATATAAAAGATATTTTCTCTGTTCCCAAATTAGAGCCTGTGTTAATGTAAACAAAATAGACCAAACCCGGATATAAGAGAAACACGGATATAAGAGACTTCTTCTCCGGTCCCGACAACTCTCTTTTATCCGGGTTACACTGTATAAAATTTGTCACTTTGCTGATTGGTGTTACCATCAGCATACCAATTAAAGTTTCATAGACAAGCCTTCCAGCAATTGCCCCATCCACTCATCAGGAAGATCACTAATACAGGGTATGATAGGTAAATTATCATTTCATATCTTTTTATTTTGAATATGCGCATTGTTTGCTTTTGATTTTGTCGACTGCACAGTATAGGAGGGTCAGTTGGCCACCATCTGTGAGAAAAAGAGCACCATGATGCAATTCACTCCGCCAGATATTTGGAAACAGTATGCTGTACTACTTGGCATTCGTGCTGAAAGTTCCAATACAAACATTTCAGAGTGTTTGGGTATCAATCTGAGGACTGTGCAGAGGATTTGGAAGTTGCTTAGAAACACATTACCAAGTGCAGAAGAAATTTTGAACAGCAGAAGAATATTTTCAAAGCAGGATCTCTCTGAAGCATATATAAAAATTCATATTGAAAATGAATGTCCTGAATTAACAAGCATTAACAAGCAACGTAGCACGAGAGTTACCAGTGACCCTCGATGAAATAAAACGAAAAGCGCAGAAAACGATTTCCTTATTCAGTCAGTTATGTTCCATGCGTGATACACGCTTAGGCGATCATGTATCTTTCGATACATGTCTGACGAGGCAGATTTTTTTCCTGCAGTAGGTTACCATTTCTTTCTGCGGTAGACCAGTTGTCATCCAAGGCTATAGAACCCGGTTTGTTCTGCTATTTACCCATAGCTAAGAAGAAGAGGATTCATATCTTTCCCAAGGATATTAGCACGTAGCTGAACGTAATGGATTCAACTGGTATTCGAACGCACCTTCCCGATTCCTCAAACCGAGCCGCTATCCATTACTCCACCGTGCCTCCATTTATTACGAAAATTTAAAAAAAGCAATTGAAAGAAAATAGAAAACGAACGAAATCCAGAATTCGATGGTGTAGTATTGCATGGACAAAGAGTTGTAATACCGTGTTAAAGAGACGAGTATTAAAGGATTTTTATTGCGGACATCCTGGTATTTTTAGAATTAAATCTTTGAGGAGAAGTTAAGTATATTGAACCGGAATGGGCAGAGATATTGAAAGTATAATGAAAGCGTACAGAGGTTGTGCTCTAGCAGCAAAAATACCTGTCACAAAGATAGAACCATGGCCAAAGATAGACACGTCGTGGTCGAGACTGCATATAGATTTTGCAGGTCCCATCAATGGATCATATTATCTTGTGGTAGTTGATAGCTTCACCCATGTTTGCCATAGTCTCTGAATATGGAATCCAGTGAAGTCCGTAATGTTTACAATATCAGAGGTTGGCAGTGAAGATTCGGAGAAGGTAGCAGCTGTTAAGTAATTCTTTAAGTCTTCGATATCAGAGGTTGGCAGTGAAGATTCGGAGAAAGTAGCAGCTGTTAAGTAATTCTTTAAGTCTTCGATATCAGAGGTTGGCAGTGAAGATATTTTGGGAGAAAACACAAAATGGCTGCCTTTATACACGTCGGATTGAATATTTTGAGCTTTCTGATTGGTTAACCCTTCTCTTGGTGGACTATAAAATGAGTCAGCTCATTTTGGCTAGCTCACTAGTACAAAAACTACCCCAAAATTCTAACAGACACAACTTCAGAATCGATCAAACTTTAAATGGTCTTTTACATAATAGCCAAAGACACAATTTCAGACTCGATCACCAATTAAATGACCCCTTATATGATAGCCAAAGAGTCTCAATATTGGACACATGGTTATTGATATTATTTCAATGATTGTTGCGGGCATATAGAAATGTGTAGTTAAATAAGATTTTTGAACGCCATGAGTATTCAACATCATCTAAAAATACTGTTGCTCATAAACTTCATAGCGATTGATCAGACTGTTAAAACATTCTGTTACTGACTGGTAAAAGCTGGAAATGATGTGATTTTGCCGAATGAAAGGTCAACTCCATACACGAGCGACCAGATGAAAGAATTGCCCAAGGGATGTGTATAGGATGCTTTTGCGAAAATTGAATATGGCAAAAGTCCTGGTTTAAAGTTTTGGGTTAATTCACGTAAATGGTACAATAAACAAAAAAAAAACTGCTTACTTTCCATCGTTATCTCCTCGCTTTGGGCACGCCTCAGGTACCAAGCATTAACCCCCCCCCAGTCATAAAGGTAATACTAGAGAGTATGGGCCCGTAGTGTTAAGCATAAACTGTAAATCCACATAAAAAATGCACCTGTCATGGTAACTTTTCGTTTAATCATCGTAACTCAGTGTGAAAAAAGCTTGAATTTAAAGCGGAAGCCCACATGTATATAGACTAAGGACACAAAACCCTACACTTCCCTCGGGTCTGTACGGTATGTAATGAGTTAGCAAGGAATATATAACTGTAGTCCGCCTCCAAGAGATAGGTATTGCCTAGTGGTTTTGTGGCCTCATGGGATGGAACATACAACATTATTATTATTATTATTATTATTATGATTATTATTATTATTATTAGCCTCCTCCTCCTCCTCCTTCTTCTTCTTCTTCCGCTAGGACCCATATCCATTCAGGATGTAGGCGATCATGGCTCTCCAAAAATTCCCGTCTCTTGTAGCTCTTAATATATGTTGTACTTTTTATTATTATCCTAAGCCGTGTTCCCCCATCTATTTACTGAAGTTCACTAAGTAGATTATGCGTTGTTTTCCGCTGTCCCCTTTGCGTTCAATATGTCCTGTGAGTATCAGATTTTCAAAGCCCTCTTTCCTCATTATGTACTCTAGAATTTCAACTCATCCTGATGTGAAGTATAATTTTCCTTTTTGTTTTCATTTGCTTTAAAACTTCGTTGTCTCTCACATGTTCAGTTCATGGTATCCTCAGCATTCTACTTAGAACCACATTTCTGCCACCTCAAGTTTCTTCTTCTTCTGTGAGCTAATTGTCCTTTATTCACTGTCGTAAAGAAGGACTGATATTACGTAACAGTCCAGTTAGTACTAATATTACGTAACAGTCCAATTAGTACTAATATTATTTCTAATAATTAGTTAGTACTAATATTATATGTAATAATTTTAAAAACTGCAGAACTGGGAGGTGGTTAATATAGCAATTATCCGTACCTTCCGGCGAATATGCCTATTAAGATATATTTGGCAGTTTAAACTTCAAGAAGATATGTTATTTGCAAATTTTGATTAAAAAAAAAACATTTTGTTAAAAAAATTTTGTTTTGTTTATTATTTAGCAATATATTCTTTTGGGATGCTTATAAAAAATCGATTGTTCTGTGGATAGGTTTCATAATTAAATCCCTTAGTTATTCGAATAAAGTTTTAATCATCTGAGCATTCAGCTTGAGAATAAAGTTTACATATCATTTCTGCTTTCCTT